CCACTTGAAAAGTGATTGGCAATAATCATTGGGCTGCAATACGCCACATCCAATCATCATATTGCATTTTTGGCGCGTCAAGAGTGGGCTATCCCTAATTTATTATCTAAAACAAAAAATGGATCCAATTTTTAGTGCCCGTCAAATGAGAACGGCGTTATATCTTTTCCATTTCTGCTTAAAGTTGATTCTTTAATGAAGCTACGGATAAGGATAAGAAGTGTAAATTTTGAAGTTTATTTTAGTAGACTTATTAAAGTATAATAAATATTCAACACCAACTATTTCTTTAGAATAAAAAGAAATGTGGCGAGAACTCAATTATTTTGCTAACTTTGAAAGAAGTTCGATTATAGCGAATGCAAATTTGGCATATGTTTGCTTGAAACAAATAACAAGTCTTTCCTTTTTAAAGAAAAAACAGTTTCTATATGAGTATCATTCAAATTTGGCCCGGAGATTCCCAACCTCCACAGTTTGTTTTTTGTGCCCTTTTTCTTATCTCGGCTGGGTCAGACTTTGTTTTTCCCATTCAATCCTTTATTTTTATCCTTCCTTCTCCATTATTGAGTGTGATACTTGAGTCAGTCTACCGATAGAATACAGCGGTTACTCTTACTATTTTGAGGGGTGGATGGGTCCTACTAACATCCTTTTTGTTTTAGTTTGTTTTGTTACACTTTTGTTAGTTTTCTGGGTTCATCCCCCTCCCCCTCATTTCATGATTCATGAAAGTTTTATTTATTTTTGTGGGAAAAGACACTATGAACTTTCACGAGTTTTTTTTTTTAATCACTCATTTTTTTTTTACTCACTTGTAGCATGCAAGAAAGTATACAGCCTTTTTAAGTCCTTAAGCCTTTGAGCCCTTCATTGCCAAACAATTTTAACCCTTCTGCTTGAGCTTCTGAGTCAAAATTCGCAAATAATTTGTCTCTAATCTTTCATGGTAGATATAAAAATAGTTACAAGTGTTTACCCACCGTTCAACTGGTGGCAGGCATTGTCATTTTTCTCTACCACTGGTAAAGCGGTGGTCAGGAGTCAAAGGGTCAAAGGTAATAGTATCCCGAGAATAATAACGTGACTCGTACGTTAGAAAGGACATAATCTCAGTAATTTTGCAACTGCATTGGTCATATCTGCTGCATATGTAATCTAGGACTTCTTATCTATGCAATTAACTCCATTGCTTCATATAAGAATCTTTTCTGCTTTTTAAATCATTAAAAGTAAAATCGACATTTTTTTCTATATAATTTATTTTATTGTGTCATGTAAGAAAGAATTCTGCTGTACTTAATCATTAACTGTTCAATACCCAAAGTTAATGGGAAGGAAAAGAAATATAAATCTATGTATCAGTCGCCTGATAGACACTATTTTATTTTCGTAACATGAGGTATATTCACTTATTGGTATTGAATAACGCCTATTGGTAGAATAACGCCTATTGGTAGAATAACAGTAGAATATCTCATCATTAAAAAGGGAAGGTCAGGCTGTGTAGCCGATAAATATATAGTAGTACAATGAGTCTCCCGTATTGGCGGGGGTTAGGGACCAGAACCGGCCGCGAATAGTTAGAATCCTCGAATACTTGTAACCCCTCCTAGAAATTCTTATTAGCACCTATTTTGATTGTTAAAAGCCCATATGCCTTAAAATCCGCGAATGTGTGAAGCCGAGAATACTGAAACGCGAATAAGCGGGGACCCACTGTTTAGTTTATTTTTAACTTTTAATAATAATCTATATTTTATGTTTAGGTGAATATTAACGGTGCGCAGAAAATAGAAATTTCTGAGGCAAATACTTAATAAATATTTAAATTTTTAAAATGTCGCTAAATCAGGTATTACTTGTATAATAATAATATAATAATATATAATATACCCTTATTATACATATATAATATATCTCTTATCGTTATATATAGTTATAACCATTATGCAAAATATAATAAATATAATATTTAATGTACTTATTATATGATATAAATATAATACACCTGTATAATATAATTATAATAGTTTTGTGTATATTATCATTATATAATATATATAATATAGAATTTATTGTGACATAATAATATATATAATAATGTAATATAATTATTAAACAATATGTCTATAGTATACGTATGGTTGTATGTCTATAATCATTATGTAATATATAATGCACAATATATTATAATAATATATGGTAAATCATATACCTATTATATACCGTATTTTGGTGTTTATAAGGCGCCCTGATGCATTCAGTTGTGCCATACGTGATACACACTTGGCCGATCGTGTTTTTTTTTTCGATTCATGATTGAGTAGGTAGAGGATTCTCCCGTAGGTTGCTATTTCTTTCTTCGGTAGACTGGTGGCCAACCAAGGCTATAGGACTCAGACTGTCCTGCTATTCAAACCATAGCTGGGGGAGAAAAATGGATGCATACCTTTTCCAAGTGTATTTGCGCGTAAGTAAATGTAACGGATCCGACTGAAATTCGAACTCGGCTCTCCAATTTCTCATCTCATCCATTACACCACGGCGCATTAGACACCGTCACCAAAAAAAAAAAAAAAATTGAGGGAAGAAATTGGGAAAATTTTTTTTTCTTGTAATTCATAGCCCTCTCCACTATCCCCAATGTTGCCCACTGAAAAGTATATATTAGTATGAAAGCCTGACAAATTCATCAAAGTCTTAGAAGTACTAAATTTATGGTAATTATTTAGAATGTACTAATAAGAAGAGCAGTTAGATGACTAAATACCAATGAAACGTAACCTTATTGCAGCCTGAAATTCTCACGAATTGCTCACCCACCACCTTATAATTCTCATCACTGACCTTCAATTTATAAGACGCAGGAGATATTTTATAGGAAAAAAGTGCGTCTTATAAGCAGCAAAATACGGTAATATATAATATACCTACAATTTACCGATATATTATACCTTTGTTATGATGATTGTAAGTGCATAATCATTATGTAATATGTACAATATATCATAATAATATACCTGTTTTATAATATATAATATACCTAAATAATACGTTTATAATGGTGTTATATATATATATAACACCATTATAAACGTATTATTTTTTATAATATGCCTAAATAACACATTTATAATAGTGTTATACATATATATATATATTGTTTATAAGTTATTTTTATAGATACAAATATTTAAGTAAATGCATGGTTCATAACAAACAATATTAACAGACCTGAATATCCGAGAAATCTCAAAGAAAAACATGCGTTCTTCGACAGGAATCGAACCCGTATCCTACACTGAACCGTCATATAGCCTGAAGTGCTATACTATTTATCTACAGATGAAGCGTCTGGTTAGCAAGATTAAATTATTGTTTTTGAGCCAGACGCTTCGTCTGTAGGTAAATAGTATAGTACCTCAGGCTATATGGCGGTTCAGTGTAGGATACAGGTTCGAGTACTGTCGGAGGACACTTTTCTCTTTGAGATTTCGCTGACATTCAGGCCGGTTAATATTGTTTACTATAAACAGAGCATTTATTGAAATATTTGTATTTATAAAAAAAATGCATTAACAAAAATATATTAAAATAATTGTCGGACTTAGTCTATTTCATTATATATATATATATACACACTTGTAGCCATTTTCATCATTAATGCTCACTCCCGGTTCCATTTATTGGGTCAGGGGTCATTAATGTGTTAATGGATAAAGATAAAAATTTTCATAAAGAAAAGATTGATGCACGAATCATTATTTTAGCACAAACAACAGCTACAAATAGTGTTTCTCTGTTCTTCAACTATAGAAAAATATATAAATTATTTGGAATTGTTGCCATTATAGGAAAATGATCGTCAGGCCTTTTAAAAAGCGCTTTTATGTCTAAGAGTTAATGCGCTTTTTATACTAAATGTAGACGTTATAATTGAACAATTTAAAAAGTCAAAAACGTCAGGTTTAACAAAATTATTTTAGCAGCATTCATTGTCATTCATATCAGGGACCAACCAGTATGTAAACTTTATACAGACAACTAATATTCATATTGTATATGTTTGTAATTATATTATTAATATCTAATCAATATAGCGTCGCGATTGTGAACCAGTATTGTCGGTAGGATATAACTTTGTACGGAGATGGTATTGATATCATGACTGCCATTAAAAAAAAACAATTGCAATTGAATTTTTGTCTATATTTCTGAGATGAAGTATTGTAACTATTTATACTATTTACATTGCTCGGTCTGTTGTCGTCATCGTTGTTGTCATATTCACGTTTCGTAAGCTCCGTCCTTCTTCAGGTGATCTACCTTGGACTTTCGAATCAAACACTTTATTTCGTTCACCGGGGTAGATTGTTCTAGTTCCACCTGCCATACCTCTTCCAGAATACCTCAGTTTCAGTTATTTCCCTTTAATAAGTGAACTTTCCAAGTTTTTGTTCGCCTCTGCTGTGGTCAGGTATTGAACTCACAACTCTTTGGGTCAAGTCACTGGATTACTTCAGTCAACACTTTTATCCACAGGGCGACATGTCCTTTGGATAAATGCGTAACTGGCTACAGCAGAGATGAACAAAAACTTAGAGAGTTGAGTTACTAAAGGAAATTAACTAAAATTCAGATATCACGGAAGAGACCTGGTACGTGGAAATAGAACAATCTACCCCGGTGAAAGAAATAAAGGGTTCGGTTTGAAATCCAACACCCGAAGAAGGCCGGAACGTATAATGGCCGAAGCGTCGTGAATATGAAAATAAAAATGAAGACAACAGTCTTAACAATGTAAATAGTGCAAATTACAATTGAATTATTACATTATATGTTTTAACGTACCTTTTAAAAAAATTTTTTTTAGCGTGTTTTATTTACATGGAATAGTATTCACAAGACAAATTTAAAAGCAGGTTCTTCGCAATTTTCTTTCAAATCTTTTTGTCACTGAGGTTATTGTTCGTTTGATGTTGAAATTTCTTTGGTTCTTAGATCGTGAATTCGACTGGCAAGTCACAATCCTTCATTTTTTCTTCCCATATTTTGTCATAGTCCTCATTCTGGGCCACGGTAAACCAGTTTTTCCAGTCGCCCACCTGACCTGAAATAGACAGAAAATTTTAAATAAAAAAATACACCTATCTATATCTTTGAAATGAAGTATTAGGATTGCTTGCAATATTCGGATTGTTATTCCCGTCTTCATTGCCATATTCACAATGGCCTCTATATCTCTGAGATGAGGTATTATGATTACTTGCATTATTTACATTATTCAGACTGTTATCCTCATCTTCATTGCCATATTCACAACGTTTCGGCCTCTTATATCTCTGAGATGAGGTATTATGATTACTTGCATTATTTACATTATTCGAACTGTTATCGTCAGCTTCATTGCCATATTCACAGCCTCTATATCTCTGAGATAAGGTATTATGATTACTTTCATTATTTACATTATTCGGGCTGTTATCCTCATCTTCATTGCCATATTCACACCCTATATCTCTGAGATAAGATATTATGATTATTTCATTATTTACATTATTCGGGCTGATTCATCTTCATTGCCATATTCACACCCTATATATCTCTGAGATAAGATATTATGATTACTTTCATTATTTACATTATTCGGGCTGTTATCCTCATCTTCATTGCCATATTCACACCCTATATATCTCTGAGATAAGATATTATGATTACTTTCATTATTTACATTATTCGGGCTGTTATCCTCATCTTCATTGCCATATTCACACCCTATATATCTCTGAGATAAGATATTATGATTACTTTCATTATTTACATTATTCGGGCTGTTATCCTCATCTTCATTGCCATATTCACACCCTATATATCTCTGAGATAAGATATTATGATTACTTTCATTATTTACATTATTCGGGCTGTTATCCTCATCTTCATTGCCATTATTACTTTCATTATTTACATTATTCAGGCTGTTATCCTCATCTTCATTGCCATATTCACACCCTCTATATATCTCTGAGATAAGATATTCATTACTTTCATTATTTACATTATTCGGGCTGTTATCCTCATCTTCATTGCCATATTCACCCTATATCTCTGAGATAAGATATTATGATTACTTTCATTATTTACATTATTCGGGCTGTTATCCTCATCTTCATTGCCATATTCACACTATATATCTCTGAGATAAGATATTATGATTACTTTCATTATTTACATTATTCTGTTATCCTCATCTTCATTTGCCATATTCACACCCTATATATCTGAGATAAGATATTATGATTACTTTCATTATTTATTTTCGGGCATTCATCTTCATTGCCATATTCACACCCTATATATCTCTGAGATAAGATATTATGATTACTTTCATTATTTACATTATTAGGGCTGTATCCTCATCTTCATTGCCATATTCACACCCTATATATCTCTGAGATAAATAATGATTATTTCATTATTTACATTATTCGGGCTGTTATCCTCATCTTCATTGCCATATTTATATATCTCTGAGATTATTATGATTACTTTCATTATTTACATTATTCGGGCTGTTATCCTCATCTTCATTGCCATATTCACAGTATATATCTCTGAGATAAGATATTATGATTACTTTCATTATTTACATTATTCACCTCATCTTCATTGCCATATTCACCCTATATATCTCTGAGATAAGATATTATGATTATTTTCATTATTTACATTATTCGGGCTGTTATCCTCATCTTCATTGCCATATTCACACCCTATATATCTCTGAGATAAGATATTATGATTACTTTCATTATTTACATTATTCGGGCTGTTATCCTCATCTTCATTGCCATATTCACACCCTATATATCTCTGAGATAAGATATTATGATTACTTTCATTATTTACATTATTCGGGCTGTTATCCTCATCTTCATTATATTCACATATATCTCTGAGATAAGATATTATGATTACTTTCATTATTTACATTATTCGGGCTGTTATCCTCATCTTCATTGCCATTTCACATATATCTCTAGATAAGATATTATGATTACTTTCATTATTTACTTATTCGAGAGATAAGATATTATGATTACTTTCATTATTTACATTATTCGGGCTGTTATCCTCATCTTCATTGCCATATTCACACCCTATATATCTCTGAGATAAGATATTATGATTACTTTCATTATTTACATTATTCGGGCTGTTATCCTCATCTTCATTGCCATATTCACCTATATATCTCTGAGATAAGATATTATGATTACTTTCATTATTTACATTATTCGAACTGTTATCCTCATCTTCATTGCCATAATATATCTCTGAGATAAGATATTATGATTACTTTCATTATTTACATTATTCGGGCTGTTATCCTCATCTTCATTTACCATATTCACACCCTATATATCTCTGAGATAAGATATTATGATTACTTTCATTATTTACATTATTCAGGCTGTTATCCTCATCTTCATTGCCATATTCACCCCTATATATCTCTGAGATAAGATATTATGATTACTTTCATTATTTACATTATTCGGGCTGTTATCCTCATCTTCATTGCCATATTCACCCCTATATAAGATAAGATATTATGATTACTTTCATATTTACATTATTCAGGCTGTTATCCTCATCTTCATTGCCATATTCACACCCTATATATCTCTGAGATAAGATATTATGATTACTTTCATTATTTACATTATTCCCGGGCTGTTATCCTCATCTTCATTGCCATATTCAATATATCTCTGAGATAAGATATTATGGCATTATTTATTGTTATCCTCATCTTCATTTACCATATTCACAGTCTCTATATCTCTGAGATAAGATATTATGATTATTTCATTATTTACATTATTCGAGCTGTTATCCTCATCTTCATTGCCATATTCACAGTCTCTATATCTCTGAGATAAGATATTATGATTACTTTCATTATTTACATTATTCGGGCTGTTATCCTCATCTTCATTGCCATATTCACAGTCTCTATATCTCTGAGATGAGGTATTATGATGACTTGCTTTTCGGCCTTGTGCCATAATTGTATTAATTTACAATAAATCTCAATAACACCAAGAAAATTCAATCTTACCTTTGCGATAGAACGACATGTTCTCCCTTAATTCAAAAGGGTAATAAACTGTGTTTTTCTTCTTTCATCTTCTTGAAGCTGCACAATTCACTGATGCTTTGGCAGAGCTCAGGTGTACTGGGCACTTCCAGGAAGACAGCCATTTTCTCAATCAGGCTAGGAAGATCCTGCAAGGCAAAAATAAAAGTTAGACTGAACCAAGTCAAAGGTTAAAACATTGGGCATTATTTATTCCCACGAAGTGACATTGATAAAGTGCTTCCAGTTGTTGCATTATTTACATTATTCAGACTGTTATCCTCATCTTCAGTACCATATTCACAACGTTTCAGCCTCTATATCTCTGAGATGAGGTATTATGCTTACTTGCATTATTTACATTATTCAGACTGTTATCCACATCTTCAGTGCCATATTCACTACGCTTCAGCCTCTATATCTCTGAGATGAGGTATTATGATAACATGCATTAGTCTAGGAACTGGATATAACCAATGTCTTTATCCACTGGGCCATGCGTCCTTGAAATAACTGGGGCATCTGGAAGAGGCATGGTATGTGGAACTAGAACAATCTATACCGGTGGACGAAATAAACGGTTCGATTCGAAATTCCAGTTACCTGAAAAAGAACGGAGCGTACAACGGCCGAAACGTTGTGAATATGGCAATGAAGAGGTGGATAAAAGTCCGAATAATGTAAATAATGCAAGTAATCATAATACCTCATCTCAGAGATATAGACAGATGCTTCCATTTCATTTGAACTTTTAATTTCAGACGATGGTATTTCTGTCACTGCAGTACTATGGCTCAATTGGAAATGGTGGAAATTTTGACAATACCAACATGGTAAGATAAGAAGAAAAATAAATAAATAAGACGGTTAACAAAAAAATTATATTGATGTAAAGTTATATGTATGATCAAAAATACAATAAACAAAAACAGTTTAATTGGTTTCTCGGTCCTCTTTCATTAAAGCTCAATCGAGGACAAGAAATGTTCCCATTGACTAATATAAACACTAAAGACCAGACTTTATATGATAAATATTTAACAGTTAAAAGATAATTACATTTAATCCTAACAATCACACCTTCTGATTACAGAGAGTTAATAGATTCCAATACCATCAATTTTTTAATCAGTATCACCCCATACAAGGTAGTAAATCCGTTAAGACACAAGGGTTTACAAGGTTTGGAAGAATTAGGTACAGAAACATTAATAATGAGCTGGAAGAGAAAAGAGTAATCAGAAGGACAGTATATTGTGATTGACATTGCATTTCAATTTTTCCAGATTAAAGTTGGTTGGAAAGCATTGAACCGGAAGAGAGTCCCTCAAGTGAGAGGTGCAAGAAAAGAAACTGTTAAATTCCAAGTGACCGTTTTGGTTTTAAGACAGGGTATATTGAAGCTTATTTGATAAATGCTCAGCAATCGTTGAAGCAGTTCTATTAACGCAGCTGTAGAATGTTATTCAACTTACCTTTGCAAATATTGGTTGGTTTATTAAATATTGATTATAATTAATGAGTTAAAATTTAAAGCAAGGTAGCATGTGAAAAGCTATTCAATGTTTTTGGTAAAACGTGTAAAGATAATTAGTGAAAATAAATACTTTTATTAAGTGTTAGTTATTAAGTTTTATACAACCGAAAACCCTTCCTGTTCTTAGTCTATTAGAGTAGTCACCTCTCTATGAGGGTGGGCTGAAAAGTTCATAGGCTGACAATGAAGGAGTGATGCTAGAGTTCTGAAATTTTGCATGCATTAATTTCAAATCTCGGTAATAAATGCATTGTTTCATTCTAGGTAAACTGACATCTAACTGTATAAAGATGTTTATCCTCTTGGTCAAAAATAGCCATCAACAGCAGATATGACGTCATCATCACTGTGATATTGGTTCCCAGCCCAGAGGGTTTTTTATGTGGGGGAACAGATGATAGTCAAATCAGGAGAATAGGGTGGCTTATCAACCAGTTCAAAGCTAGAGTCACACACAACAGCCACTGAAATCAGAGTGTGCTGGAGTACTGTCCAGATGAAACAAAACCACTTTCGTTTGGTTGTTACAGCCTTTCGTAACGGCCTCAGTAAGTTGGTATAGTACTCGTCATTGATGGTGTGTCTCTTCTGAAGCTAGTCAACAGCCATAATACCTTTTCCATATCACAAAACTGAGGCCGTTACCTTCCCTACAGATGAAACAACATTGGCCTTCTTTAAAGCAGGAGGGAGGCTGTTTCCCCTGCATGGATTGTCTCTTTGTCTTTGGCTCAAAGTGATGAACCCAACACTCATCTTGAGTCAGGAAACGTTCAAGGAAACAACCTGGATTTGCCTCAAAAAATATCTGATTTTTCCGGGATGTGATCAGCCTGGTGCGCTTTTGATCAGGTGTCAGAAGACGTGACACCCACCGAGCAGAAATCTTCCTCATGCAAAGTTCATTGTCCAGAATATTGTCAACTCACTCACAGGATATGCTAATAGCATTGGCTATTTGATTTACAGTCAATCACCTGTCATCCATCAGCATGTGCTGGACAAGATCAATGTTTTCCTCGCAGTTGAAGAACGTCTAGACCTTGGATCATATTCAAGAATCTCCTTCCTACCAGATAAATTCAGCTGCCCAATTTTACACTGTGGATAAATCTAGGGCGCCATGCTCTAATGTAGCAACCATGTCAGTATGAATTTCCTCGGGGGATCTGCAAGTATTTGATAACACCACGATGCCAAATTTTGTTCATTTTCAAGAGAAGTCGCTACTTGTTACTTTTGATGATTCTTTTAACAGATACAGGGCAATGGAAAGAAACAATACAGTTATTAATAAGAAGAGTTGAAATTGATGCATGCAAGATTTCAGAGCTCTAGCGTTACTCCTTCATAGACAGCTTATGAACCTTTCAGTCCTTTTTCGTAAAAGGCAAATACACTCAACGTGGCTTGGTGATACAACAAGCATACCTGTCTTGTGCTACGAGTTGATCGTAATCCTACCTTATTGCAAGCACATCTTATTTTTGATACAGTCACAATTATTATTCACTGTGAGGACTGAACTCACAACTCAGTAGTCTTGGTCTATGTGAATAGATTGCTCTCATCCTCGCTATGGCAAGGCGACTTAAACAGATTAGGTGAATGTTAATTACAAACAGTTTAAATTTGAATCTCTGGCGGCCCTCTGAGATTACGTCAGCCTTTCCTAATCACGTCGGTGGTCACCAATGAAATGTGGCCGCCTTCAAGATCACGTTGGGGTCACCACATTTATTTAACTTAGATTAGGAAACCAAACTGACGTGAAAAAAAGCCAAATACATCATTACACATAAAACTTGTATTTAACAAAATGTACAAACATGGATGTGAAAGAAAAACATGCATTGAATAAAACAAGAGTTGTCCTCTTTAACTATACATTGTTCCAAAGTTCACTGAAAGCCACAGGGTTGTAATAGTTTCTGGCAATAAATCTTTTTAACAGTTTTGCTTGTAAGAAAAAACATTATGTGAGTATAGGGAATATTCAGCATGTGAGTGGTGGTGTGAGTGAGAAGATTGGTGCATGGTTTCAACTGTCGTGGATTTCTGTGACAGCTGAGATCTCACTGGTTTACTAAGAATTTTCTTTGCTTATATAGGTGATCATCGGTTCCGAAAGCGCTGTGCGGGAAGAATCACTCTTCACGTGTAGACAATCTGATTGGTTGGCATTGATCAATCAGCGAGCGAGTGTTGGGGACACTCCCGAAAACCTTCTGGGATCTGATACTCCCAAAAGTGCACGAAATCAACTACATGAAAAAATAGAGATTATAAAATTGTTGCATTACACAGTAGTGTTGATTTACTATGCAATGAATGCTTGTCGTTGTATAATTTGAATTTGCATTAGTATGTATGTATGTGTGTGATGACTATGCTCCAGCATCACTCCTTCATAGTCAGCCTATGAGCCTTTCAGTCCTTTTTTGTAAAAGGCAAATATACTCAACGTGGCTTGGTGATGCAACAAGCATCCCTGTTTTGTGGTACGAGTTGACCGTAAGCCTACCTTATTGCAAGCTCATCTTATTTTTGATTAAAAAAAGTCATAATTATTTTCACTGTAAGGACTGAACTCACAACTCAGCAGTATTGATCTACGTGAATAGATTGCTCTCATCCTCGCTATGGCAAGGTGACTTAAGCAGATTAGGTGAATGTTAATTACAAACAGTTTAAACATGCGTGCAGGTTTTAAAATTTGAATCTAATATAAAATATCAAAGATAGACAACTCGTGATAGTACAGAAGTTAACGCTCAATCGATTCTATCATCATGTGTTCAAAGAATTGAACTTGCGTCAGAATTTGAATACATTCCAGAATGGTTAGCGTGTTTGCCATGCAAGCAATTTAAAGATGAAACCGTCTCTCGTCAAGTGTTCTAGTTTGTATGTCAGGTCCGACAATTAACTGGGATGAGATTGAATAAAATTATGTGAATGCGTGACATTCTTCTGATTTTTTATAGGAATATAGTACTTGAGAGATGGGTAGTAGAATTCAATAGCTTCCTTGTCTGCATGACTCGAATGACGGATTTGAAATCTAAAGGAGACATTTAAAAAAATAAAAAAGAATGAAATATTACTCACCCGTTTCGCTTCCTCGTAAGTCACCCAAAGGGCATTTTGTCGACCTTTGCTCCATTCCCACCAAACTTTATTGTATTCAAACCAGTCTCCATTGGGAACTAAATAATAATAATAATAATAATAATAATAATAATAATAATATCTCAGGTTGCTCAATACTCACAGTCAGTATGTACAAAACCGTCATGACAGGGTAGGTCAATATCTGTATTGGAACATGTGTCAACATTACGGGATTAAAACAACTGTAAACTGGTGCGAACATCATCCTGAATCTGTAGTTGAGAGAGCAGGTATTACCTACCATCCTCTGGGATCTTCCTGTCGACACAGATTGATTAATACAAGAAAATTGCCCAGGCTTTATTATCAATGACGAACTCTCCGGTTTGGGCAAGTCTCTCAGATAAATTTTACAAGACCTTCCATATAGACGTCCTTTCAAATTCTGTTTGTTATGCTAGAATTTCTCAGTGTGGGCCAAATCCTGATATACAGTGCTGCGCAAAAGTAATTGAACTCCTTCGTTATTATTTTTAAAAATTCTTTTTTTTTTTTTACAGATAATCAACAAATTTTAATTAAACTATATATTCAATAAGAAAAAAACTTTTATTAAATGAATTACAACAACTTTCAAAAGTTTTTATCAAGTTGGAATAAAAATATTAATGAAACATAAAAAATTAAAATGTGCAAGTCTTACATTTGCGTCCTGTATTTTTATTTTACATGGCTGCCGTGTCAAGAAATAGCGTCTTATGTCCTACGGGACAATGGCCTAGTAGATTAAAGTGTTGGTTCGTAAATATGGCGAGTTCAATCCCTGGGTCGGGCAGTGTGTACATGGACTCAGTGAAAACGGCCGAGTAATAACTTAACTATAAATAAATAAATAAATAAATAAGACCTTTGTAAATTAAATAAAGAGGTTCAGAATTCTTTGTAGGTTTACCAGATCAGTATACACCTGAGGAAAGCTGGGGACACAATGGTCGAAACGTTGTGATATCAGCAACAATGATGAGAAGAATAGTCTAAATATAAATAATGATACCCCTTCATTCAAGAAATCCAGACAAAATTTGTCAGTAACGTAGATTTTAATTGTTTTGCAGACTAACATTGAAGATGGCTTGGCGTCGAATGAATTGTCATTAATTATGCTATATTATCATCATACACTTGTAAATAATGTTCTGTACAAATTTTCACGCTGAATTCGGTGCCACAAAAACATTATAAAACATTACCAAATATAGAGATTCTTGTAAATATCAAATATTACACGCTTTCTTAAGTTTTTCTCATCGTTGCCTGAAGAGTGGTTCCAAATGTCAACAATATTTCTGTTCGTTCGTTAATTGTGCCATTTGCCATTTTATGAATAGACCATCAAGTATTTTTTTTTTGGACGATACGTTAAAAATATGGATAGATCTGAACAATTAATTAAAGGTTATCTAAAAAAAAGATCCAAGAAAGCGTGTGAATTATATACCATTCTTTAATATGTGCAAATTGTTTGAACATCCAACGGTGTCCCATATTTCAGATTTCCCCCGACTAGACATATTCAATCCTCGTTGTGTTTCGCTTCTCGTTCACGCCCGTATGCATAAATACTGGGAAAGTCTCGCTACACGTTCATGGGGAACACCAACAAATGAAAACACGAATCAATAATTTCGTGTTTATTTCAATGGGTTTTCCCACCCGGACACAGTATTCTCTTTGGCCGTAGTTTGGCGGTACATAGGTCATTTCGATTTTCTTCTTACCGCCTGCTGTCGACGTGACTTAGCAGACGGACGGCTCCTCTCTCTGTTCCGCTCTAAAAGATACACTACATATAGAAAGTGGCAGACGGAAGCATCTGGTTTCCGACGAAGTATCACTTGACCTCACATATAATTCATTTGTTTTGATTTTTTTTATTTTCTTTCCCTTCTTTTTAGTTGGGTTGCCACTTTGAACACGAGACTTTAAAGATACTTCTTCCAGACATTAAAAGACACCCAACGCTTCTGACCTCACTGTCGAGAAATAAGAACACTATATAGTTAATGATACAGGTAATTTTTTAAAATAAACAATATGGGATTTTGTCCTGATTTTGACAGTGGTGTTTAACAACTGGTTCCACCAGGGCTCTATCGCCAACCAGATTTCCAGAGGTGTTATCCCGCTTAGTACTTAAGTTGCTTAATTTGTGGATAAGAATTAGTACTGCATTTGCTTAAATGGTAGCTTAATCTTTTTATGCTTGGGTGTATAGCTGACCACTCATATTCGAGGATACCCGTCTACTAGGGAGGCTAGTCAATCCCTATTGCAGACGCTTGCCCATGCACATATGTGTTTGTTCAACACACACAGAGGTTTATACTGCAACTCACACTTAATCATATCAATTAGGAAAACACAGCAGTATCTATCTTAACCAAGGGAGGGTTCACAGTAAACCGCCCCGTTTCATTAAGGGAACTTAAAAGAGAAAATCAAGGCTAGCCTCGTCCACACGAACCAGGCTCGCATCAGTCACCCACCTTTCGCTGAAATCTGTCGAAATCAAACGCTATCAGATCTGATTTTTACCCTAAGCTGATGTTTAATGAAAGCAACTAGATCCTGATGCGAATAACGTTCACCTCGCAAGATTTACTCCTTACGCGGTGTTTACACCACCATTCTTACCACGGCTAGCAATGTAAAAAAAGCACCATCCGTTTTACACCGGAGAACGGGGGCGACACATTGTCACATATGTACGCGAGATCGATAGACACGAGCCGAGCGGGAGAGATATGTGTCGTCAATTCGCTAACATAATCCCAGAAGGGGCGCACCTGTGGAAAACGGTAGAAGGCGTGCGAAGCCGTTTCCTCTAAGCAAGGTCACACCGATGACAGTCTGGAAAATCTGCCTCGCCCGATCTGAAGGTTACGTCATTGAGAGGTAGCGCGTTCCAAATCAATTGCCAGCTAAGCGAAAGACCAGAAAGAGCGCAACTCTGACAGGCCGAGCCGATCACACAGACGATCCTTCGCGTCTCGTCTCCCTCCTACGCAGAAACCCTGGCTCGAGCTCTACCATGGAAAACAGCGATTCCGCGTAGGGCCGGACTGCACGGCCTGTCCCTCAGCTGGCGAAGTAAGGGCGACAGCGAAAAACCCTGTCGGACCGACCGAGACAGCACAAAATCGCTCGACCGCTTCCCGTTCACTTGGGGGAACGATACAGGAGGATGATCCACTTGCAGAAGTCATGTACGAATCCGGCGGTCTGCAGGACAGCAGTCAGGTATTGATGATCAACCCTGTCGGATGCCTTGGACTGATCTAAAGTCTGCTCGGGTCCCAAAAAGCTTGCAACAACTGACTGCCACCTATTTGTCAGGATCTTGGCCAGAATCTTTATCACTGTGTTTAGCAGAGTTATGGGCCTGTAATCATCTAAACCCCGTCCATCACCTTTGCCCTTTTTCAACAGCGGGATCACATCTCTGGAAACCTGGAACCAGTTGTTGAACACCACTGTCAAAATCAGGACGAAGATGTGCGACAACCTCAAGTACACTTCGTCGGGCAGAGCATCAAGTCCCGGAGACTTGCCACTGCCGACTTTCTTCAATGCCAAGTGAACTTCGTCCTCTGTGATCTTACCCTCGCAACTAGCCGCTTCAGTCGGCGAAAGCCGAGGAAAGTCAGCCAAATAGCTGCGAAACTTGTCGCAATTGAGACCAGGCTCCTCGGTAAAATGTCGCCGAAACGCCTTGCGCATAACCTCAGAGAACTTCCCTCTGGGGTAATGACCTCGCGAATGTTTCGATTGGAACCTCGACGGATCTCTTCCTTGCGGAATTCTGCACCCATATTCACGGCTTTGTTAGATATCTTGTTTAATCTATATCTAACTACCTGACCCTGGTAGCGCTTACTAGCCACGCGCTGCAGGGCCTGCCTAGCTACAGCTATCTCTAGGGAAACCCCTCTCCTAGGCACTATCCTCTAGAGTCTTCACCTTTTTAACAGTTTCTAGAGCGAGGCTTTGGCTATATCCAGTGGTAAAGGACCTACCCCTAACCTTAAGCTAGAGAAGAACTGGGACCCTCCCTGTACAATACTCTGAAATTTTTTTTTAGCTCCGGAGACTGTCTGGACCATCCGGAGCTTCGGGAAGGCATTTTTTTGCTCCCGCAACATAGCCCTAGACCGTAAGGTTTTCCTCCGGTGTTTCTAATAAGTGTAAGAACACCGGGAGAGCCGGAAAAGTTCCTTGGATCCTCCGTTGACTTCCAATCAATGGAGGTACATTTGCAGAGTCTCAAGAGGGCCTTCCTCTGGGAGAAAATGTCCCTCTCAAGAACCACGCGGTCAACTATTTAGATTTTGTCCCCTCTGAGGAGTTGTCGCTTATTCTTTCCTTGAGATTGGTTGGGGGAGGGGGAGGGGGGAGACGGAGCCCTAGTAGGGGAAAAAGGGGACTCCTTGTCTTACCTGGCAGGAGATCTCTTTCACTTCTTGCTGGCGAAGTAGGAGTGGATTTGGATTTAGCATCTACCAGGTCCTTCTCTGCTATTTCCGACCCGCTCTGCTTTCCTTTTTGGTATTTTTAAAGTCTTCTTCCTCCTCTTCCTCGCTCTTCCTTCTGTTCCTCGCCTTTCTCTCTCTTCAATGATGAGGATCAAGTAGAAGGCATCTCCTCCTCCTCCATATAGAGGTCCAGCTGAGGCAAATCCTCCACGACTTGATGTTTCGGCTGCTGCTGTTGCTACTATTGGTCATCCTTTTCTTCTGGTTGCTGTTGTGGCTGCATCGGCTGCTGCTGCTCTCGCTGTTGTTCTTGCTGCTTTTGATGATGCTGCTGCTGCTCTCGTTGATGTTCACGTTGCTGTTCATGCTGCCGCTGCTACTCCATCTGCCGCTAATGCTTCAGCAGCTCTTTTGCTGGGGACATCCTACAGGGGAGGCGGGATTGTCGCCTTTGCGCCTCTCCTCACCAGCTCAGTCCACTCGCCGAGATCACTGGGGGGCCTTCTTTGGTAATTCCACCCTGGGCTACTCTTTTGCTGGTTAAGGCTGCGGTGCCGCGTTTC